GAACGAGGACGGCCAGTGAAAATACCTCAGCTTCTTGTTGCTCTAGAATTCAAGTTCAATTTCACGGAGAATGACGTACCATTATACTTTATGTTTTGCCGAGCCCTGCTGTGGTCTCTGGTTTGGTAGTTGTACTTGCTAAAAATCGACTCCAAGCAGCATCCCAGTCTTGATATTTGCCCTTTTGGGAGACGAATTGGGATAAGCAAGTCAACCATGTCCTAAAGAAGTAGTAGCAGTGGATGCTTATAAAGGAAGGCACAAGCATAAGAGAAAAGTTCTATGGAGCGGGCAAATCCATATATTGGAAGGTATAGGTCACTCACTGGTGTAAACAAAACGAAATCATAGAGCATAGCTCATTTGCAATGCCACTGTCCAAACCGACCACATGATTTAGATCACGGCCTTTTCACACAAAACCTCTGATATATCATAAAAAAGGCTTTACAGTATGGGAATTGGTCTGAATAGTCCCTCCAATTTGAAGTGGTCAAGTTGCCATTGGTACCAGCAGCATGTAATTGGTACTACCACCTGCTCTGGCTATAGCTGAGCTCTCCAGTTCTTCTCCATGGGTGATCAATGGACGCCGGAGGCCATTCAAGTATACTAGCTTCCTATTAGAGAACTGCAGGAGCTTTGTCTGGCCATGAATGGAAGGTCATCAGTCTACAAAATACGGGTTGTTTTATGTTTCTAAATTATCCTCACATAAGTTGACATGTCAAATGCATTGCTGAGTGCTGACCTTTGTTGGAGGACATGGCAGCTTCACTAACAAGGTCACGGAAGTTTTGTAAGACATGAGGAGAATGTCAAAATGGGTTTGGAGGCGAGATTGAGCTGGGGCAAGGCACGTTCCAGAGAGCACATCTTTACACATGAGGTGAAAAACGAGCATACGTTTTTTGTCACCACTCGAGTGATTGCAATAGATGTATATTTTTTCTATGAAAAGTGTTATTTCGTGGCAACGCAAACACTCAAACAGTCTCAGTAATAACAAAGAAAAGAAAGTTCTACGTGCGCAAAGCTTGTATAGTCCATAATTTTACGGAATGCATTGTTTACATTGAACAACCTAGAGGTGAAACGAAAGGCTTACTTCTTTGTGCCAAAACTGCCACAAATTTAATTTCTCACAGATTCACTCGTGGAGGTCCATTTCTTCTAGAGAAAACACAAAGCTTGTACCCCCAATGCATTGACGATAGGAAATAATAAATTTACAAGGCTAAAAGTAGTATAACATTACAACTGAACTGAAAGTAGGAGTAAATCATGGTTACTCCAGTCTATATCGAGGCACTGGTCCTCCTAACTTGGAGGGTATCGCTAGCATCTCCCTTGGACTGAAAAATTCCTTTACATGTCCGTTCCATCCACACCTCTCGCGGAAGAATTCCTCTTGGTGGCCCTCCTTCCCACACCCAAGCTCCACATCGCTTGGATGCAAAATCTTGGATTCATCTGGACACAATGTGCAACTGCTTCTAAAGGGGCAAAACGGTTTTTCTGGAGAGGGAGGCGCGGGGGCGGGGGGTCAGCTAGGATCAACTGGGTTGTGTAACATGAACATTAATAGAACCACACATATCTGCGTACCTAAGATGGTGCATGTTTCGATGATTATTGTGCTGGAACACCGGACATAGCGTAGCTCGGCGAAGAAGCTCTGCTCGTCGCCGCCATCCTTTAGGCAGGCCAAGAAGTTGAGGTGGTACCAGAGATCTTCCCTGAAGCCAACACAGGCTGCCTTCGCCTCGGTGGTGGGCTGATCAGGGCACCGGAACTCAGCACCCTGCACACATAGACACACACACACATATTATTACAAGCATAACCAAGTAAAACAGGACATGTATGCGCTGCAAGAATCGAGATGGATGAAACACTAGCCGGAATTGTACCAGGTGGCTGGAGTTGTAATGTTGGAGGGCCCAGCGCGCGAGATTGCGAATGTGGTAGGCGTCGAATTCTCTGTCATCAAACAGAAAAATCAGGGATCGTTTCATTGATTCAACACAACCAATCAAAGCAAAGAAGTAAAATTTGCATACTCTGGTGTGCGCGGGCCGGGGCGACCCACGTTCTTCAGTCGACACATGTTGAAGGGAGTGGCATCCAATCCAGCTGCAACTGCCCACTCTCTTGGGATCGCACGCCCGTCGTTACCCGGGAAAGAGAACCAGGCCCCCATGGTGGAGTCGGTTGATCCACCTGCTGCCTTCCTGTGCGTCATCGGTCGGTGCCGAGATCAATGTAAAAAATAGTGTGGCCCTTCTCCAAATGCTATATCGGTTATAGCATCCTATATTCAAAATAGCGTTGTGAAAAAAAATATGCCAAATATATCCCAGAAATTAAGGAGTTCAACATCTAAAATTTGTAGTTACAAGGAGATCAGTCTATTGCTCTAAGCACTGGTTAAACTACAGGAAAAACAGGGGAAACAGGGCACGTACACTCAATGGTTAAATTACATGCAATGGTTAAACTAGGGCATGACCTGCAATGGTTAAACTACATCAAAATTTGTAGTTGTACCATGCAATAAACTAAAGGAAACAAACTTGCATCCAAAAAGGGAAGGAAACTAAAGGAAAAACTACTAGAATGATATTGCATAAACAATCTTGCATAAACCTCCTTAGCTAGTATTATGTTCGGATGGCATGATGCTCCAAAGCAGAGAAGGAAACAAACTTGCATAAAGCACCAAACCATGTTCTACTTCAATCAAGAGAAGGAAACAGACTTCCATAAGGTGAGATATTACAGTAGATTATCCATGGCAGGAGCTCTATTTTGCAGTAAATTGTCTATAGGGAGGTTAAAACGCCGAAATAGCATGCTATTTTCATCGTTGTCAAGATCGATCGCCGAACCAATGGGATCTGTAGATATACATATAGAGAGAGGTACTTCCTAATCGATCGGCAACTCCTAATCGAACTCCTAATCGGATGATTGTTTCTCCTGGTGAGACGGATTGATTTAACAACAAGGGGAACTGATGATGGGAGTACCTCGAAAGGAGGGAGACGGTAGCAGGACAGCCCTGGCGCGATGTCCTGGGAGTCGACGAAGAAGGGGAACGGCGATGGCGGCGGCGGCGGCGACGCGCGTCCCCAGTGTTGGTGGGTGGGAGGCGATTGAGGGGCGGCGGCGGCGGCGGCGGCGGCGGCGACGCTAAGGTACGGCACGGCGGGATCCGCCAGGGGTGGAAGGGGAAGAGTAAACAAAGGGAGAAGGCGTGCTGCTATGATGACTCTCCTGATGATAAGATATATATTTTGTTATTTTACTAGGAAAAGCACCCCCTTGGTAGTACAATTCTTTAGCGTAGGGATTGCATAATAAAGATGATAATTAATTTATTAGTGTGCGGATATAATACTCCCTTCGTTCCATAATATAAGAACGTTTTTGGCACTACACTAATGTCAAAAACATTCTTATATTATGGGATAGAGGTAGTAGTTTACAGGTCTTTTTCTAAAAGCAACCTTAGCAGACCCTTATACTCAGGAACCGTAAACGTGACATAAAAACCGCGAAAGCAGAGATTTGAGGGGCCATTTCTGCTGCGGCCGAACAGACACCATATTTGAAATCGTAAATTTCAAAAGAAAGCATTCACGGGCGAAATTGAAGAACAGTCCATTCATCATAGTTAGATCATGGCTACATAGGTCGATCGTCGCTACATTTAGGGCCTCTTTGATTTGTAGGATTTTGAAAACGTAGGAATAGAAAAAGTATAGGATTGGAGTGGCATACTCACTTGAATCATATAGGATTAGCAATGAGTGTTTGATGGCACATGAAAAACAAAGGAATTGTAAAAAGAGATTGAAGTGGATGTTAGATTTTCTATGAAATGTAATATAAAAGATTTCATGAGAAAAATTCCTATGGGATTCAATCCTATGAATCAAAGAACCAACATAGAAAAAAATCCTAAGGATTTCAATCCTTCAGAAATCCTATAAATCCTTTGAATCAAAGGAGCCCTTATACTACAATGTGATACTGCCATACTCTAACTAGGCAAAATTAGAGCTCACCGGAGCACTTTGGGTGCGGCGGCGACCCTGCGACGGCAGTAGCGCTCACTCATCATCGTCGGAGTTGGAGGAGAAAAGATCGACGTATTTCTTGTCCTGCTCCTCTTGCTCGCGACCCCATGTGGCCTGCTTCTCGTGGAAATCACGGCCGGCAGCGAGCGCCTGCTTGAAGAAGAGGCCGCTGAGCTCGTCGTCTCGCCGGTGACGCGCGCCCTCCTCCTGCTGCTCGCGCGCAATGCACTCAGTGAGTGCCGCCTCGAAAGCGTGCACGTCGGGCCCAACGAAGTAGTCCTCTGGCCCGATGATGCCGCGGTCGCGCGGGCGCTCCTTCTGCGGCTCGACCTTGCCGGCGGGAAGGTCGCATGGCTCCCTCTCCCTCTTCACCGGAAGCAACCCCGACCCTGAAGAGCTCCCCGCGCCGGAGCGCCATGCATGGCGGAAGTCGTACTCCTCCGTCTCGCGGTGGAGGAGGGACTCCGGCACTAGGAGCCCCGCACTTCATGTATCACTTAGCCGCATGCTTGCGCGCCACGTCGGAGGTGATGCAACACCTGCAATCCAGGTCTTCGCCGCCGCCACGCCAACCGGAGTTCCACATCCTCGTAGATTGGGGGGCGGGGCATGGCTGATTTCTCAACGGCGACGACAAATTGGAGAGGGGATAGGGTGAGTCACGGCGGCGAGGGATAGGGTTTCGGCCCGTATCCTCGCGCGAAACTCGTAGATATGCCGCGTGGGGGCAGTTTGCGGGCCACTATAAAAAAATATGGGCCGAGCAACTATACAGGCTCTGGCCCGGCCCAAAAAATTGGCCAACCCAGCATAGTCGCTGGAATTTTTCAGTTCTCGCGAGTATAGGGGGTCTGCTAGAGTTGCTCTAAGCCTACATAATTTTGAGAGATGTTACGCCTACATAAATTTAATTATGGATTTAATGTAACTAGCCAAGTGAAAAGGTTAGCATCGAAGAATCAAGGGAGGAAGAGCCCTACCCCCATGAAATTCTGCATGGGTGCTAATACGTCTCCAATGTATCTATTATTTATGAAGTATTCATGTCATGTTTACAACAATTTTATATGGTTTTGGTATGATTTGAATGGAACTAACACAGACATATGTTGTTTTAGGCAGAACTACCGTGGTGTTGTTTTTTGTGCAAAAATAAAAATTCTCGGAATTGGCAAAACTTTTTGACAATTTTTTTGGAAGAAAAGATAAATAATGGAGCAAAGAACCACCAAAGGGGGGCCCTGCTGCCTACAAGACACCAGGGCCCCCTGGCGCGCCCTGGTGGGTGGTGGGCCCCCCGAGGCCCATCTTCGCGTGATTCCAACATTGAAAATTCCTATTGAAAGTGCAACTATCCCTAGGTGGTTTTGGTAATTCCTAACAACATATAGCTCATTGAGCTAACATTATTCCAAGATAAATATTTCAGGAAAAGCTCAATGAATGGCATGGCATGGATGAGGAAAGTGGACCCCTCAAAATACTAAGGATAAAAGGATTGGCTCAAGCTCAAAGCTCAAGACTCTACATTTTATATTTTAGTGATCCAAGATCACATTGAGTCTATAGGAAAAGCCAATACTATCAAGGAGGGATGAGGTGTTGCTTAATGAGGTTCTTGCTTCATAGTGCTTAGTGATATGCTCCAAAACCCTCAACTACTTTCCCACATCCACATATGACCTAAACCAAAAGTCTAACTCGGCCCCACCGATTCTTTCTATCCGGCGCCACCGAGTTCAGATGTCATAGCCACTGCCACAAACCCTAGGCAAATCGGTCTCGCCAATAGGGATCTCGGTCTCACTGAGATGGGATTGTAATCTCTCTGTTTCCCTTCGTAACGTTTCGGTCCTACCGAGATGAGCGATCGGTCCCACCGAGATTGCAACGTAAACTCTCTATTTCCCTTTTGTAACATTTCGGTCTCACCGAAATGAGTGAATCGGTCCCACCGAGTTTACCTGACCAACTCTCTGGTTAGCTCATTATACCAAAATCGGTTTCATCGAGTTTGTGTAATCGGTCTCACCGAGATTACGTTATGCCCTAAACCTAACCATATCGGTCCTACCGAGTTGCATGTCGGTCCCACCCCTAACGGTCACTAGATTTGCTGAATCGGTCCGACCGAGTTTAACAACCCAGTCCCACCGAGTTTGGTAAGTTGTGTGTAACGGTTAGATTTTGTGTGGAGGCTATATATACCCCTCCACCTCCTCTTCATTCGTGGAGAGAGCCATCAGAACTAGCCTACACTTCTAACCTACATTTTCTGAGAAAGAACCACCTACCCTTGTGTTGAGACCAAGATATTCCATTCCTACCATATGAATCTTGATCTCTAGCCTTCCCCAAGTTGCTTTCCACTCAAATCTTTTTTCCACCAAATCCAAATCCTGTGAGAGAGAGTTGAGTGTTGGGGAGACTATCATTTGAAGCACAAGAGCAAGGAGTTCATCATCAACACACCATTTGTTACTTCTTGGAGAGTGGTGTCTCCTAGATTGGCTAGGTGTCAGTTGGGAGCCTCCGACAAGATTGTGGAGTTGAACCAAAGACTTTGTAAGGGCAAGGAGATCGCCTACTTTGTGAAGATCTACCGCTAGTGAGGCAAGTCCTTCGTGGGCGACGGCCATGGTGGGATAGACAAGGTTGCTTCTTCGTGGACCCTTCGTGGGTGGAGCCCTCCGTGGACTCGCGCAACCGTTACCCTTCGTGGGTTGAAGTCTCCATCAACGTGGTGTACGATAGCACCACCTATCGGAACCACGACAAAAACATATGTGTCTCCAATTGCGTTTGAATTATCCAAACCCTTCCCTTTACATTCTTGCAAGTTGCATGCTTTACTTTTCGTTGCTCATATACTCTTTGCATGCTTTCTTGAATTGTGTTAAGATTGCTTGACTTGTGCTAAGTTAGCTAAAATCTGCCAAAGACTAAAATTGGGAAAAGGATAAGTTTTCATTTGCTCAAGTAGTCTAATCACCCCCCTCTAGACATACTTTCGATCCTACAAGTGGTATCAGAGCTTTGGTCTCCATTTTCTTTGATTTCCATAGCTTTTGGTAGTCATAGCCTTGGTTTCACAACCTAGGAGAGTATGGCGTCTAGCGAGGGAAATTATCACCGTAGAGGTCCTTACTTTGATGGTACT